CGGAGCGCCCTCTGGCGGCGGGGACAGGAACAGCGGGCGGGGCGGGGGTGCGGGATTCCCGGTCCCGGTACCGGCACCGGTACCGACATCACACCCGGGATCACCACCGGGACCGGCGCCACGCTCAACCCGCCGGCAGCCTTCCCCTAGGCGCCGCTCCCCGAGCCCCACTGCGCCCGTCGGGGGATGCCCGGGGGTTCGGCGGTGCCGCCTCCCCCACCGGTGCCGCCTCCCCCACCGGCGCCGCCGCCCCTCCGGTGCCTCCACCGCCCTCCGGTGCCGCCGGGGCGGGCGCCGCCGAGCATGCGCGCCGCCGCCCCCCGCCCTCCCCCCGGCTCCGCCGCTCCCTGCAACGCACCGGGGCGATCGCGGCCGCTGCTGCTGCCGCCGCCGCCGCCGCGGGCACGGGAGCGGGGAGCGGAGCCATGGCCGAAGGCGARGACCTGCAGACCTTCACCTCCATCATGGACGCGCTCGTCCGCATCAGCGTGAGCGACCGCGGTGGCGGCGGGGGGGCGGACAGGGGTCCCCCGGGACCGGGTCGCCGTGGCAACGCGGCGGGGGACTTGGGGGGGGGCGATGCCCTTGAGGGGTGGGCGGGCGGCGGACCCGGTCCCCGACTCACCGCAGCGACCCCCGGGGAGGGCGGTCATCGCGACCCCCCCACACCGAGCCGTGGGAGCACCGGGTACGGCGGGGGGCGGCCCCATCCCGGCCCCGATCCCGGTGCCCAGCGCGGTCCTGGCACKGGTCCCAGTACGGGGCCAAATCCGGGCTCTGSTGTGMRTCCAGCCCYGGTCCCCATCCCAAACCCCATCTCCATCCTGGCCCCCAGCATCCTCTCCATCCCAGTTTCAATCGCAGCACTCATCCCAGTCCCCATCCCCATCCCAGCCTTGGGCCCCATCCTGGTGCTAATCCCAGTGCTGGTCCTCATCCTCATCCCCATCCCAGTCCCCATCCCAGCTCCAGGCCCCATCCTGGTGCTGATCCCAGTAGTGTCCCCCATTCCACTGCTGGTTCTGATCCTGGCCCTGCTCTGGGCCCAGCCCCAATCCCAATCCCATCCCCATCCTAGGCCTGAGCCTCATCCAGGCTCAGATCCCAGTGTTGGTCCTGATCCTGGCCCTGATGCTGGTCCCAGTCCTCATCCCTGTCCCAGGCCTGATCCTGGTCCTGGTCCTGGTCCTGATCCTGATCCTGGTCCTGGTCCTGGTCCTGGTCCTGATCCTGATCCTGGTCCTGGTCCTGATCCTGATCCTGGTCCTGGCTCTGGTGCTGTCCCCAGGCCCTGATCCTGACCCTACTGTCCCAGCCCCATCCCAGTGCTGGTCCTGATCCTGACCATGCTGCTGATCCCAGCTTAATTCCTCATCCCAGTGGCAGCCCTGATCCTCGTCCCGGTGCTGGTCTCAGTGTTTGTCCTCATCCTGTCCGTGCTGCTGGTCTCAGGCTTCATCCTTGCCCTGATCCTGGTCCTGGTTCTCGTCTCCATCCCAGCTTAGGTCCCAGTACTGGTCCCAGTCCTGGCCCTGGTGCCGATCTCCGCCCTGATCCTGGTCGTGATGCTGATCCTGGCCCTGATCCCTGTCCTAGTGCTGGTCCCAGCCCTGATGCTGACCCTGGCCCTGGCCCTGATCCTGGCCCTGGTGCCAATCTCAGCCCTGATCCTGGCTCTAATCGTGGTCCTGGTGCCGATCTCAGCCCTGATCCTGGCTCTGCTGCTGGTCCTGACTCTGATCCTGGTCCTGGTGCTGATCTCAGCCCTAATCCTGGTCCTGGTGCCGATCTCAGCCCTGATCCTGGCCCTAATCCTACCCCTGGTGCCGATCTCAGCCCTAATCCGGGTCCTGGTGCCGATCTCAGCCCTGATCCTAGCCCTGGTGCCAATCTCAGCCCTAATACTGGCCCTGGTGCTGATCTCAGCCCTGATCCTGGCCCTGGTGCCAATCTCAGCCCTAATCCTGGCCCTGGTGCTGATCTCAGCCCTGATCCTGGCCCTAATCCTGGTCCTGGTGCTGATCTCAGCCCTAATCCTGGTCCTGGTGCCGATCTCAGCCCTGATCCTGGCCCTGCTGCTGATCTCAGCCCTGATCCTGGCCCTAATCCTACCCCTGGTGCCGATCTCAGCCCTGATCCTGGCCCTAATCCTACCCCTGGTGCCGATCTCAGCCCTGATCCTGGCTCTGGTGCCAATCTCAGCCCTGATCCTGGCTCTGGTGCCAATCTCAGCCCTGATCCTGGTTCTGGTGCTGATCTCAGCCCTGATCCTGGCCCTGCTGCTGGTTCTGACTCTGATCCTGGCCCTGCTGCTGATCTCAGCCCTGATTCTGGCTCTGATCCTGNGTCCCATCCCCATTCCACCACCAGCTGGTGACGCTCCCGATCTCTCTCCGCAGACCAGCATGAAGAACATGGAGCGGGAGCTGGTGTGCCCCGTGTGCAAGGAGATGTACAAGCAGCCTCTGGCACTGCCCTGCACCCACAACGTGTGCCACGTGTGTGCCAGCGAGGTGCTGCTGCAGAATGGCCACCTGTACTGTGACCCCACGTCCGAGCCCACCTCGCCCGCGGCCACCCCGTCCACCCGCAGCCCCCGCCTGGGACGCCGGGTTGTCCCCAAACCCGACCGGCTCGACCGCCTCCTCAAGTCAGGTGGGGCTGGAGAGGGTGGCAGA